ATATAAAACATATACTATATATTAGATATATGAAAGAAATATTATATGTAGAGTTAACTAAGCAAAATAAAACTACTCCTAATGTTGCACATTTGTTTTAGCAGAAAAAAAAAAAAACCCAAAAAACTTTTACATTAATAGACCTAGGTTTAGTACTTAAAAATAACTTCAAAAAATTACACATCAGTTTCAGCCATATCTATGTTTTAAAATACCTAACTCTTTAAAAGAAGTACATACATCCTGTGAAACTATAACCTCAAAAATCTACAGCTACCCCTTGCCTTACTGCAACTTCATAATGCAATAAAAGCCTACACCAATATTTATAGAAGGGTGCTTTGTTCACTGAATGGCTGCTTTGAACGTTTTGATTTCTTTCCATGTTCCAATGTGACTGGCACAAAGTTCAGCCTCTTAAACACAGGATTAACAACCTATGCCCCACCTGATGGTTAGATTGTAGTGCTGCTCTTAAGTGAGCCCTGGACAGAATGAAAGAAACATCTTCCTGGTTAGTTTGCTGTAAGGCACATCCTGACATCTGACAAATAGCCAATTCCCAATGCGAAATTGCAACTATCTACACAGATCACAGAGTGAAACAGTGAAGGGCATTTGCCATTTAAATCAGCAAGTTCTCCAAAATTGTGCAATTTCAGGTCTGTATTACCAACACAACTAGTTCTGGGCCAACCTGTATTATTCCAATATATCTTTGTCATTGTATTATGTAGCTGAGTTCTCTACCAGTTAAATAAGTACAAAGAACAAGAAAAGAACATTTAAGCTCTTTAGAATGGTATATGCTAAAACTTCAGATTTGCTCACTCATGAAAAAAATAGTATTTTTGTAATTTCTAACTGAGAATTCAAGATCTATAAATACATAATTTTTCATACACTATTTAAATCAGCTGGTAAATGAGGCTTTAAAAACAACTGAAAAATAAAGTGTAAGATAAGAATGTAAGACGTAAGAATGCAACATGTAAGAATTTTTACACAGATTCCCTGAAATACTCCACTGTATCTCAGAGAACTACCTGCAGGATTTTGGTTTTTCCATGCAACAAGTTTCCAGTAAGTTTCACTTTTCATTTTGGTTAATCTGAATGCTGCACCTTTTTCCTATACACTTTGAATACAGGAGGTTTCCACCTGCAGCCCCCCACTCCAATAATTGCTCTCAAGTCAGCTACTGGGAGAAGACAGAATGCAATGAACCCCTCAGTCCCTTTCTTCACAGATGGCAGACATCCCAAGCTCATCTCTCAAGGTACCTCCAAATGCTTCCCACAGCTTCCTCTGCATAATATCAGACTTCACTTTCCTTATGGAAAATAAAAGCTCATGACAAAGATCATACTCATGAACGGACACTCTACATGTATCTACCAGAGATGTGGGGAACTTACCAAAGAGCTGAGAAGGGTTAGCATTAGTGGCTTTTTCATAATTAGTAAGTCCTTCATAAATAACCTTCCCAACTGCAGCATAAAGGCACTCCAGCTCTTCATACTTTGAAGCTACACTTGAGGTACCTGCAGTTTGGAAAGTTGTGCTTACTTTTGGTAATATTACACTGAGAACATACAGTCATCTACACCATCACTAGAAGTTTATGTTGCTGACAAACCACGGCAACACAAGCAGATCCCTCATTTATATAAACCTCTTTATTATACAACCAATGTCTTCTATAATAGTGAACCACTCCTAAATAATTAATTCTGATGAGAAGTCTAAGATAACTGATTTGTTTTAGAAGAACATTATCTAAATTAGTTCCTACTAAGACACAGCATATTACCTACTGTCTTTCTTTTCCACACTATCTCCCTTACTTGTTTTAGCAAAACAGCAGAGTTTAATAACTAAAAACTTACACTTCTGAAGCTGAAATATTATAATTGCAAAAATACATTAAATTTATAGCATGCGTTTCTTGAACTGAAGTTATGACAGCCACAGGTTATTAAGTTTTTATGTCAATGGATAATGATGTATTCCACATGATTACTTATTTCAACTTTTCTTTTAAACAGAGGTTGAAAGTGCAAGCTAAAATGGACTATTAAATGCAGGAATCATAAAACAGAGTATTAGCACATTCCAAACAGTGTTCTCACACCACCATTAATCACTTAAGTTATGCAGCAATGAAGGATAAAAGAAGGAAGAAAATACCACATACTTGGTTCCGTTGGGAAAATACCCATCAGGCGAGAAAGCAAACTGTGGACTGCTCTCAAAACCTTGGTGTTTCCACAAGTCATACAAGCTGCTACACCTCGTTGCAGGGGCTTGAAGCTGCTAAGGATAGCAGGGGGCTGCAGTACAGTTAACAGGAAGCTTAAGACCTCTAAGCCAGTGCAAATGTTGGCAAAGTTGGCCTGATTGGGTTGTTCCTAAACAGAACACATACAGAAAGGCAGTGAGTGAGGGAAATAACAGCACAGGAAACCCAGCTCAAATCTGTTGAAAACCTGTAATAAGGTTGAGGTTTCTACACTAGCAATGTTTCACATCAATCTTCTGGCTAAGTCATGCAATATAAAACTGTAAAATACAAGGCACTACAAAGTCTTCAACCATAAAAAGCATTTACAGGTGTATGTTCCTTCTGGTGTCTTTTGTGATCCTCAGATCTGAAATCTGCCTGCAACCTTGCTGGTTAGAAATGCTTTCAACAGAGGATTATGTTTTATCTCCTTGTCAACATCTTTCAGAGACAGGCCTCCAGTGAAGAGCTAAACCTGCTTACTCTATAGTAAGTCATAGCTCAAAAGGTTAGAAAAGGGGGTAGTTGGAACTAAACAAAATAAAAAAATTACAATAAAATATTACTAATAATAACTCATAATACATAAATACAATAATTCATTATATATACTGAATTATAAATTCATATAGATGCATAGTAATAATTAATTAAAATAAAAAGCATCATCAAAGGAGGTGATCCTGCCCCTCTACTCTATTCTCATGAGACCTCACTTGGAGCACTGTGTGCAATTCTGGGTGTCCTCAACATAAAAAGGACATGGAGCTGTTGGAGGAAGTCCACAGGAGGGCCACGAGGATGATAAGAGGGCTGGAGCACCTCCCATACAGACACAAGCTGAGAAAGTTGGGGCTGTTCAGCCTGGAGAAGAGAAGCTGTGTGGAGACCTCATAGCAGCCTTCCAGTATCTGAAGGGGGCCTACAAGGATGCTGGGGACGGACTCTTCATTAGGGACTGCAGCGATAGGACAAAGGGTAACGGGTTCAAATTTAAACAAGGGAAGTTCAGGTTAGATATAAGGAAGAAGCTCTTTAATGTGAGGGCGGTGAGGCACTGGCACAAGTTGCCAAAAGAAGCTGTGAATGCTCCATCCCTGGCGGTGTTCAAGGCCAGGCTGGACAGAGCCTTGGGTGACATGGTCTAGTGTGAGGTGCCCCTGCCCATGGCAGGGGTGCTGGAACTAGATGATCTTAAGGTCCTTTCAAAACCCTAACCATTCTATGATTCTATGATTTCTGGACATATCTTTGTAAACCAACAGAATTATCATTAAGATACTAAATTCGAATGTTCACTGCAGAAGCCTTTTTCTTTTTTTGAACCTCTTGTATAATTGATGCCACATAACACAAAATTAAGATATAAAATTCCTGTTCCAGACAGCTCATATCCTTGTATTAATTAACATCAACATCATCCATCTTCCTGAGGATGGAATTACATACTTGCCCTTTCAATGACTATCTCCACAAAGACAACAGTATAGCACATGTAGATCAACATTTGGGAAAAATGGCTCACATCAAATTCTCGCATTATTTTAGACAATTGAAAACTCCAGAAGTAGGATATATTACTCTTTTACTCAAAGAAACAAAAAAGTTTCTGTTGAAGAGAGTTCCTAAAAAAATTTACACAATGAAGAGTTACTAGTCTATTAAATAGCATGAAACAAATAAAATAGGTGTAGAGAAATTTATTATCTGGCAAAAAGCACACAAACAGCATACAGATGATAGTCAAAATATGCTATATCATCAAATACAGGAAACTAACCTTTCAGTGAACTTCATATTACATTAAGGTAGCTAGAAAACTAGGAGCCAGTAAAATCAATCTTAATCTGTAAAGCTTCCTACTAAACCAACCAAACAATTCACATACTTTACTATTTATGTATTTCACTACAAAGAAGATTAAGGCTGTAAAAAACAGTATCCAGCTATTGCTACTATTCAATTAACATATGTGCTAGTGAAACCTAAAGACCTACAGGACTAGAATGTTACCTACCACAGTCATTAGCAGCTTATCAAACCACTGCAACTTCAGCTCTGATTTTGGCCACATATCTGGTCGTAAAGCTGTCTTCAGAAGGTTGACACAGCGGCGAGACAGCAATTCCCCAGGAGATCCAGCAGTGTTTGAGTTGTCATTTACCTAGCAATTAATCAGAGTTAACAAAATGACACCCTTTTGTAACCAACTCATTAATTTATTATGCATTGCAAGCAAGCATGTAATTTCTTATTTCTGAAATGGATGAGCTTAAGTAGTTCTATCAGTACAGTCACAGAGCGTTTAACTGCATAAGAAGCTGACAACTAATAGCAAACATCAGAACTGGTGCCTAAACTGCTAGCTGATTACCTTAAATCACCCATCAAAGGTATATTTAAAAAAAGCTTAATCCCATAGTTTATTATTACAATGAACATGCTCAGGATGGTTAACATTTTCCATTTGCAAAGTATCCATACCTTACTCTTTACTCAATTTATACTTCAAGAGCATGTCTATTCTGTGCAATGGACTGTGGTGTATAAAATCCCATATCACTTACCAGCTAAGTCTGCTGCAGAAGCAGAAGCCATAAAATTTGAGCTACACCTAACTAATTTTCCCCACTCTAGAAATATTAATTCTTAACAAAATTTGGTGAAAAGCTTTAGTTCTACATGCTGCATGAAAATAAGTAATTCCATGTATTTGATCTTAAAAATATGATTACAACCATTATTCTTAGGTACATAACATAGACTTTCCTTACTAAACTCTCTAAATACTGTTTAGTTAAAGTATTTTATATGGGTAAAATATTCTTGCCATTAAATCCAGGCAACAGAACAAGCATACTTTGCAGCATCAGGGAAATACATAAAGACAAAACACTTATGGGAACTTTCTGAAGTCTTTGTCTGGCTCCAGCCAAATTCTACTACTCACATTTATTTCAATCTTGTCACTCCTAATATAGTACTTGATTGAGAAGAGAACATAAAGAACAAACAAAATGATAGAACTGATCAACAGCACAGTAAAATGAAGACTCCTTCAATTTCAAAATCTGGATTGCAACTGTTCACATTCAAGGTGTTAATTTCAAAGTGCACGCTTCCCTGCATCAAGCTGTAAGCGTACCATGCCAACAAGAAGCTAAAGCATACCTCTTATGAATAATACCCATCACTTGTGAAATTAAAAATATGTAGAGACTGGTTATAAAATTCAGTTTCTTTCCTCCTTAAAATAACAACATTTTTCTTTTTGTACAATTTCACGTTCAGGTTTCTAACCGTCATAAAAGAAAGTATACAAACACTAGAATAATCCAAGCATAAAGACTCTTATGAAAAAAGGGGGCTACAGGTTTGGCTACTAATGTCACATTGGTATTTGCATATCAGAATAAACACACTACCTGGCAAGCAATTCTAATCAAGAAATTCACAACTGTATCTGTATGCTGCTTGTCAATTGGCTTGGAAAGCAGTGCATCAGCTCCTGGCAAGGACTGGCTACGTCCAAATACCTGCATGTATATAGACACAGAAACCGTAAGAAACATTGAAGGATAACAACAAGCAGAACAGATTTAAAAAATATTCTAAAACTATAACCTTTAATTCAGGGAGTTAAAAACTTGCGAGTTAATGTGGAATAAGTAATTACACTGAATTGCTTAGTCAGTGCAGGTTGTAATTTCAGCATATTTGAACAAAACTTATTTTTCCTTACAGCACTTATTGCTCCTGTAGCGGTCCTGAATCGTTTTACTTCTTGGCCAGAATCCACAGACAATCCTCTTTTAACAGCAGATGAGGCAGAACTTGGTCCATCTCCACCTGCACTTGAATCCATATCTGAATCTGGCTGAAATATCAGCAATATGCATGTTAAAAAAGCATTTAACTGTGTAACATTTCAATCTTTACCTGTTTATTTAGACTACCTACCTGCTGGTCTTTAATTCTTTGCAATTCCCATTTAATAACTACTTCAGCAAGATCCACAGCTAATTTTCTTTGCTCTATTGTAACACTGGGAGTGAAGCCCAGTCTCTGCATGGCACTAACCATATGCTGAACCAAGTGATGTCTCACTGGATAATAAACCTAAAAAGATGGTTGCACAGTCATGTTAGCCATTAACCAATACAATTCTACACAATACTAAGTCGAAATAAAAGCAAAATGGTAAAACAGTCTTTAATCCCATAGTTTGCTAAATCTGTGCCCTGTTCAAATTTTGCAATCCAGAAAAGTAACTGATGCTTTGGAAATAAAATTTTGGCTACAATTTTCAGCAATGACTACTGGTTTCAGGTACCCAAGTGAAGATGTTCATTTGAAGATACACAATTTTTCTCCAGGAACAATCATTCCAATTTTTTGCTGACCCTTTTAAAGAGCTACAACTCACATTTGAACACACTCAGATATTGTTTTCAAAAAGCATTGAGCCATCAATTCCTGAAAAGTGACTTCAATGCATATCAGGTAGCAGTCACTCTCGATCATGTTTTAGTATGCGTTTTCAAAAATGCTCCTATATTGACATTCCCCCATTTGTTTAATGTTTCACAACATACATTAGCTGGAGATAAGTTATATAATTAACCCCACAGGATATGTAAAGTCAAACAAACAAGGATTACTGAAGGATGGAAAAGAATATGGTTCTGCGCTTTCTTTAAGCAATTCAAAGAATCTTCACAGCCCTGTTAAAGAGCACCGCCAATGCACGTGCAATTAATTCATCTTGCAGACTTTCACCTAACATTTTGAGTTCTGATTTCATTCATGCTAAAGCTTAGTAAGTGGTTTGCTATTTAATTTTAATAGTTGTTTTCAGTCTTAAATAAATATCCTTGCAGACAGCTGATGCCTTTTGAAGCTACACCATGTAAATCACATGATACTATTTTCTGATCAAACTGCAGTTTACCTCCTTCATATCTGAGGTACAGTGACTACCAGAATAACTGGTAAAAGTACCTTGAAATGTTGTACTATCAAGTGTAAAATATGTACTAGCTGGGGAACTGTATGACCCTCTTCCACAATGATCTTTCGTGTCCAGTGAGTTAACATCTGATGCCCATCCTCCATTCGAGCAGGCACAGCTGGAGTCAGAATAGCCATTGCTTGCCTCACAATAGCTCGGGCCTCCATCGCATGAGCTTTTAGAAGACTGTGAAAGACCTAAACAGTAAGGTTTGTGATCAATGTTAATACTACACGTATTTACCAAAAAAAAAAAAAGGCATTTAAAAATAAACTACAACATAAGTTTTCTAAAGGACACAATTTTTTCCTCAAGACCCATAATTTTGCAAACACATGACAATACTCCATCATCAGAAATATACAGTGTATCCCTTCTGTCTCCTTCCCTTTTTCTTCCTCCCTTTCCACTGTCCAACTTGAAATTTTCCTTTGGTCCCCACATTCTCAACTGAATGTTTGCCTCTTAAATGAAGAAACATACCAATTCTGTAAATTCAACCAAAAGCATTTTTATCATCCCCTTTATCCTTTCTGTTTTCACTTATCTTTAAACTTTTTATACTCTTTCTTTTAAACTTTCTATACTCTCCTATCCACAAATAAATTTGTATTAACATTTGGCTTGCTGCCTTTTGTATTTCTTTGTTCCACATGTATTTAACTGTTACTTTCGTATTAAGTATCCAAGACTACTGCACACCCTCTACTCTTCATTTTAAAAATAAAAGCAAGCACAGTACAGAATTTATCAACATCCCTTGAATGTACGAATACAAGCCCATAGTCAATACCTGCAGAACTATCTTCTTATGTATGGCAAATTTTGCAATGATGTGTGCCAAAAGCAGATGTCCACTGTATTTGCACGCTGGGTCCACACATGCCTTGGACAAGAGGCAAGGCCAAGCAAACGTCATTAGGCGTCGCAGTTTGCTGTTCCGGTTTTTGTTATTGTCATGAATGTGGTGTGGAGCATGCTCAACCAGAAGCGTGGCAAACTGCAGGAGATATATCCTGAGAGAATCCAGCATATCAGCCTGTTTTTCTGGATCAAGTACCTAGTCCCAGGGATGACCAAAGAGGAGAGAAGGAAGGTGAGAAGGGGGAAAAGAAAAAACAAAAAATATTCTCTGTGAAAAAGAAAAATCCCAAACATCCTCTTCAACAACATCTATTTTATAACTGGTTCAGTGAAATTGAAGTGAATTACAGAGATACTCGTGTTCAGTCATGGAAAGCTTTGCTTATGAAAAAGACTGGGTTTACAGCCATACGAGGCCCATTTCTAAAGCCAGACATTCAAGTCCTAAAGATATAAAATTGTAGTCAAAGCCTACCGATGACTGATGGATCTCACGACAGTTCAAAGTTACCATGTGATTCAATATAACTTACCACAGTATTTAGAAACAGCACAACTAATTCACGTCAGGATTGAAAAGCCAAACAAGGGGAACCATTTTGTTTTAGTTTTCAAACACTTTAATGTAAACAAGGATTGTTACCTTTGTTATAAAAACACTAGTGATGCTCTCTGGATTATCTCCTTCTGGGTTTGGGGGTCCCAACAGCTGTTCACCTTCTCCCTTTTCAAAACTGTATAAGAAAGCAGGATTCAGGATGTGCTGCAGCACCTACGGAACATTAATAAAACCCAAAACAATTATACTCAACTACTGGATTCTTCTAACAGCAGTCAACATTCAAGTAATTTCATATGCAAACCTGTACATTAGACACACTCTGTGTTAAAAAAGGAAGCTATAAATAAAACCTTAAGAAACAGATACACACAGACCATTATCCCTGTTTCTCCTATCCAAGGGCAAAGATTCTTAGAAAGTGTAAAGTAGCCCGCATTGAAAGCAAGATGAATTGCTGTCTCTGTTTATTATCGCTCTTCTTCAGGTATGATATTTTCACCTAAATGGCTCTGCCAATTATCAAACTCGTTGACATTTAAGTAAGCGAGTTTTGTTGCCCTAGTTCCCAGAAGAAAATTAAACCTAAATACCAGGCCTCTTTGATTTAATTGCTTTAGTTACCTTGGCTTTGAGCTCATCTCCAAAGTTTGGGTCATTGAAGTCTACAAATCGGAAGAACAAAGCCCGTTTTTGGGGAATACTGTAATTTTTGGGGATCTCTTCTTCCATGTATTCCTTTAAGAAAGTCATATTGCAGAGAAATCGACCCGTAAAAGCTCGAAGCAACTGGAAGAGCAACTCTATATCACCATAATTCCTTCTGTAAGAATACATAAAATAAAAAGCTTCTGTGAAAAAATACCCAACCAAATTACTGTGCTGATGACTCGGTGAAGAAACTCTTCTTGGTTTTAAGTGAGCAGAGAGGCAAAAGCAGGCAGTACCAGAGGCGTGGGTTTAGAGCTAATGGCAGTATTATGAAATACATTAAACTTTCTCTTCAATAACTGCACACCTTACAGTATTTTAAAAACTTAAAAAAAACCCTAATGGTAAAAACAGCACGTAGAGAAGCTACAGGAGATAAATGTTTTACGTACTTGCAGTAATTCAACAAGCAATATGCTAACAGCTTCGGTTCTTTCCAATTTGTCGCAGCCATATTCTCCTTACGATGTCTCTCCTGAAAAGCTTCACTCACCCACACACGTTTCAGCTGATTCACCAAGGAATGCTGATTTGCTAACCAACATTCATCATTCTTAACAATAATGCTTATGATCTGCCAAAAGCAAAACAAGACAAATGCAGTCAACATGCAACAGGTCTGTCAGCAGAAATAATTTCTATAAGAGCACTTCTTTAAGATCAACTTAAGGGTTCTAAAATATTAAAAATAAAATAAAAAATTAAAAATAAAAACTCATTTAGATGAATTTTTAAAGGATTTATTTCTTCCTTAAGTTTCTATTGCCATGTCTTCCTCTTGTATCTTAATTGATTAGAAAAAGTATAGTTCATTTGAGTCTCTTTTCCCTTCCTAGAGTGACTCTGACTACAAACACTTTACATTTTTACAAGTGTTTTTCTATAAGCTATAATACATACACATACACTTGAAAGCCTTTATGTAACAGGCTTGTAGCTAAATAGTTCTTAACTGTCTAGAGCAGAGACATACAAGAATAAATGAATACCTTGATAGCCTGAAACTGTAGATCAAGACGCATTGTGGTAGTGCTTGGAGAACCAGGTCTAACAGCTGCTTGGGTACCAACAGGTAACAGTAGAGTGATAAATCGGTTAGGATTTGCTGCCAGTACATCTCGTAGAGGTTTGGCATCTTTATGTTTTAAGAAACTCTGAAAAAGGGGAAGAAATAATTTTAATAACAACCTTTAAAAGCAAAAATACCAAAAGGCTATATCATCTTGTAGCTTTTATATTGCTCAGTAAAGTTCCAGAGCTTGTATTTCACATACATAAAAATAGCCTCTACAACTTCAGTAATAATCCTGTATGATCTGGAGAGGTATGAAATCAGCATGTCAGGACAAACAGATACAAAACTGAAATCAGGCACCTACAGTCAGAGCAAGACCATGATTAAGAACTACAAGGTCATATAAGGAAAAAAGATGGAAAAGATGAAAAACTTTTAATTCATCCCATTTGTGAAGATGAGGTCTTTTTCCTGCTCCCTTCCCCACACAGCTTACCATAAACATTCTGCTCCACTGTGGATCATTTAAAGTGGCTTCCATCATGAACAGCTCCACAGTCTGGGATGGATGACGTGTCAAAAATTTGATGAGTGGTTCCCTGAACGGACTGCCAGCCTGAAAGGTTCATAAAGCTTAAATTAAAAATGCAGAGTACACAGTATTTCCTACTAATTTAGTAGCACTCAGAAAAACACATTTGACTTGGCATTTATGCAGATACAAAACGTTCAGAACTTCTATGATGACAATTTATTGACAATTTTAAAATCTCACTTTCAAGAGCCTAAGACAAATGTTAACACCTCTTAAAAGGCTTGAAGAGCATATTTATTTATTACATCAAATGTTCCCACACTCTGTTTAAAATATTCTATTTATTATATGCTAATGTTTAAAATACTATAAAGCAAAAATATCAGCAACATTCACTTCCACTCTTACCTCAATTAACATTGCTCGTTCTGTTTTCATAACAACTTCCAGCAGAGGTTTAACTAAAGTCTGAGGGGCAGCGGGGATCAGATGGAATAAATTTATAATTGCTGAACAAATCTTCATTTCCTATAAGCAAAAAGAAACACAGTTAAGTTAATATTACCAGCTAAATACATAAAAACAGTATCACACATCCTACCTTTTTTCTTCCTCTCTCTATTAGCATAGCCAGCAACCAAATGCAAAGGGTTAACATATATACAGCATCTATTTACCATGATTTATGGAGAAAATTGCTCTTGTGGAAGTCTGCCCTTCTATCCTTGCAATCTAATGCTTTAATTTTATTTTCTTTGTCAGTAACAGTGGTGTTTTACAGGTAAGACCTAAACACTATGTAATGATAATGGTGATGGGGGAGTTACAGAGTGCTGACTGCACTACACCAAAGTGGCTAATGCAACAAAAAGCAAGACCTTCCCTTCTAAACAGTTTTTCATACACGCCCTACCACCCCAGACTAGACATGAAGAAAGACAGGCAGCTTTCCCACCGCACTGTTCAGTATATCTTGCAAACAGCTGGTTACTTCAAAGAAAAGTCAGCTCTGTTCTACCACTAGATACTAAATTCTTCTTAAGCCCCAAGTAATTTTGTGTTTTTCTTTCACTGCGTAATTTAAACCTATAATTCAGTAAATTGGAGTGTGGATTTCTACAGGAAGAAAAGGGAAAGGAGAAAACCAAACCATCCACCCTCACCATCTCTCTAAAATCAATTTCTAGTACACAGTATACAAAAGGTTATTATCAAAGGTATTGCTTTTCCTCAACTGAATGTAAACACAAAGCATTAGGCCCACTACTTCAACACGATCTGCCTAGGCAGACCCCCGCAAGGCTACTCTCATGGACTGAAGTGCAGGACTGAGAATACATCAAGTCTTTTGAAAGCACTTGTACCTTCACAGAAATTAAAAATCCTGCTCTTCCTACTGTAAACATGCTTAGCATCCTGAACAGCAATGTTACCAGAATGACTCTGGTACAGACAAACAGAAGACAATTCACAGCACTGCACTCAAAGGCACAACACATTCTGCCCAGAACACAACAGTAAAATTAATAAACCACAGTTTAAAAGAAATTAAAAAAAATAAGAACAAACAAAAAAAAAAAACCACCCAACAGAACAACAAAGAACTTCCTGGTGCCTCCACTGAGTTTCTCAACTCTAACCCTTCTACAGCAGGCTGAACCAAACCAGAAGTCACAGCATGAAAAGGAAAAGCCCACAAGAATATCAAATAAATGAACAACTCAGGATATGCTGTTCTTCAGGCTGCGGCCAGAAACTGACTTCAGTAAGGTTATTTTCTCATCTCAAAGTGAAAGAATGGAGACAATGATTATCTCCCATGCTCTGAACTGCTCTCCTAAGAATTAGGATGAAAAGTATCCTTTTTTTTACTTGCATGTTGTTTAGGCATAGCTTCTCAAATATTTATAATGAATAAAAGATAGATACAAGATTACTGAGTCAGGGGAAACAATATTTTAACATCTTGCAAGAAAAATTTGTCCAGCATCAATTACAAAACCACTTCCAATACTTCAACTACCAAGCTATAAAGTCCTTCTAATAGGCTGTAATGCAGAATTTCCACGTGGTGTTACTGTTCACGAGAGGGGCAGTCAGACACAACCACCTATTCAAAACATGTTTTTTTCCAATT